CGGAGACCCAAATGGGCGGGCCCGCTCCGTTGCCCTGGCCGCAACCCTGAAATGGTACCATGGAAGGGGGATGAAAGCTCTCTTCAGAGTCACCAAAGCCTGTCCGCACTCGGTGCGTGGACGTTGCTAGGGTGTCAAACATCATACGCAACGCATTCCAAGTAATCGCCAGACGCATCATAGCTATCAACGCATTCCAAGTAATCGCCAGACGCATCATAGCTATCACCGCAACCCAATGGACGACCCAATCAAAACAAGACTTTGCGTCATTTTAAATCCACCCCGCGGAGCGGCGCTGGAGAATCAGCAGGTCCCACACAAGGCGTTTAGACAGGGCAAGATCGATCGCTTGATGGTGCTTTCGAGACCCGCACTGTCCATCGGCCAAGAGGTGATGTTCTTCCCCGTAGGCCATGGCCAGGCGGCCCAATTTCTTGTAGTTCGCTTGGGATTCAGAATTCATGAGCTGAATTGTACGCATTTTTGTCAGCCGAAAGTCTCCTGGCTTCTTTTCAATGGCGAAATTCATCAGATGCCGCCAGTTGCTTGTCAGGGACAAATCCAGTTGTCAAGGGTATGTGGCGGAAGAGAGCGTCGCATTGGGCCACCGTAGGAGAATAGATCCCAGCCTTGAAATGCCCGTTATGAAGCCCATGCGGTTCCGAGCCCTTATTCTCTGGATTACGAGACCAGAAGTAAGTATGATCGTCCGGCGACACTTCCATCGGGATCATAGAGTGCCCTTGATGGAAACCGCACTGCTCTAGGAATGACTGAGTGTAAGAATCAATCCCATCCGGCATTGGAAGGCGGCCCTCCAGAAGGGCGTGAGAGTTCCTCTCTGCGTCCGCAAGGGTTCGTCCATGGGAGGAGTTGTATAGGGCGATTGAGTCTGGTTGTACCGTGCGCGGTTTTCCTGCATGCACCCTTGCTCAACTTGTCTCCGGTCAGTGAGAGTTCGAAGATCCACTTTTCCGTTAGGTAACTTCTCCTCAACTTGAATCGCTTGCAAACCACTGGTAGATCCTTTTGACTGGGCGCGGCGGCGGCGTCTCGCCTCCTCTCGTTGCTTCATCCGCCGTAACCTCAAAAAGCGATCTCTAGCCTTGCGCAATGTCCATTGTTTCTTCTTAGATCTCTTCACTTGAATAGTCAAGAACTTCTTGCGCCATGTAACCGCGTGGTTTTTCTTGGCATGCAAGTACTCTTTCCTGTCATTACGCAATGCCTTCTCCAATTCAACCGTAGTCTTCTTCCAGGCGTTGGGCAATTTAGTCTTCTTCATAAGGCGACGGATTTTCCGCGAGCTGACTCGACATTGCTTCCTTCCCTTCAGCAGTAGTTTCCAAAGGGACTGGCGGTCCCAAAAGTTTTGGATCTGAGGAGACCACGGGACAGCCCCATTTGTAACCCTTCGACACCTCGCTTCCGCTTTCCGACGAATAT